TTACTTCTTAGGGGTGTTCTTTTACATTCTTAGGCCAAATTATTGATTCTTTAATAAATAGGTGCATCCAGATTGTCATCGGAAAATTATATTGCCATGTAGCATGGAATGACATCATTTAACGAACAGCATGATATATAATCAATCGTTACATTTGGAATGACATGTATAAAATCTCAGTTGTGGGTATCAACCGTTTCCACATTTGTAACACAACCCCTTATACATTATGTGTGGGACAGGCGGGCATATCTACACCGGTGGTCGCTACCAGGTGAAACTCTGTCTACCCAGGTATTTCAGGGCACCCTCATCCAGTCACCCTAGCCGTCTTCTCAGTGAATCACTCGGGTACATCTCAGGAGTGCTCCCACCACCGTCATCCAACGACATGTACATCTGCAAACTTAATGGCGGCTGGAGCCCATTCCTGGTCAGCTCTCATGTCAACATTATCCCAGGCCGTTACTGTTCATCAAATAGCGGCACTCTTACCTTCCACCATCGGTAAAACGTTTTACCTTGACTGGTGGCAATCCTGGAACCTCCGGAAGCATCAGTGTATACACACATGTGTTACCAATGCTGCCTGCTAAGTTCATGACCTATGTATATATGTATATGTACGACACACCAGCACTAGTAGTACTACATGTACAGGAACTTGATGAACAATGCATAACAGCCATAAGGATATTCATACCATGTTATGAACACATGTGTACACAGTGGCTACTTAGCACAGCCTTTCATAAGCCCATGATGCATAGAGGGTTTAACAATTACGTATGGTCTACTACACCAATCAAACTGGCTGCCTTACAGCAGCATGAATTCAAGGCTTTGCAGCCATTTGCAATGNGCAACCATCCATCCTAGTGGGTCAAGCAACAACACCCATCACACAACAGCCATTCAATACCATGGCTCGAGATATGTACATGTTGTAGCATGCATACGCATGTGCAGAAGGAGCAGGCATGCATGCCAACTCCATCCCGACACATAG